CTATAGAGTCATTTGATTTGAAAGTTTAAGCAAAATTTTCAGTGAACTGAAAACGAAATGGACAGAAATTGTGAGAGTGATTTTTAATTGAATTGACAACAAAACCCGTTAATTCTTACGTTGTTAAAGCAGCCGTGTTCCAGAATAAATGATATCAATAGAATGGACATAACAGGGTTTTAATATTTCGTCAATACTATACTTTGATGTGAAAGTTAAATCCAGTTTAGTAGGTATATATAAGGTAAAAAGAAAATTTACTATGTTTTTATATAAAGACAATGACATTATGACAAGCTATAAGTACTTTAAAATGTTATTAAACCAGTGTTGAAATCAGTTTATGTTTGCATATACCTTTTATCTTTGTCATTGTTTACCATGAAAAAAAGTAGTGCAGCTTTGTTTGTGATAATATTTTCGGATATATTTTACACGCTGGTAGAAATTGACGAAACTGTTGCTTGTTTTAGATTTTCAGTGACAGAGTTATTGTCCTTGTTTGAAAATGATTGTAATAAAGTGAAAAGGGATGAAATGGTGTTTATTGTCTTTTCAACCCAATATTTCAGTTATTTTGAGACTAACATATGGTAATCATTGTTTCCATGGTTACGTTTGCAATGCAAGGTAGACAGACTTTGCTCGGAGAGTGGCATTTCTGCCTTTTTCTCCACGATTTTTGCCTGTCAAAATGGGTTGACATCGAGCTTTTGTCCCATCCGATATAGACACACTCTCCTTGATTCAAACCCAAAGACATTCTAGTTGAGAGTCACAGGTGAGCCAGGGACTTTGTGGGTTAAAGGGGGGTTGGATGGCTGAATGGTTAGCGTGCGCGCTGTATCATAAAGTCTATCATTGAGTCGACTGGCGTGGTTTCGAATCCCCGGTTGTACATGACAAGGAGTAGGGTTGCCTGTCCAACCTTGTGGGTTTTCTCCGGGTCCTCCTGTTTCCTTCCACTGCTAAAGACCCCTATGTGCAAGCGAATTATTGAAATAAAATTAAACCATATGTTAGTCCCGAAATGACCTAGTTGTGTCAAGTGGACGTTAAACCCCATTTCTCTCTCTCTCTTGTGGGTTAAAAAGTTAGTCTCCAACTCCAACTGGCAACTGGATGTTGGTATTTCTTTGAAAACATATCACAGTCTACAGAGGTTCAGATAATTGCTTGGGACTAAAATAACGGGTTCTAAGATTCTTCCACACAGAATTAACCAGTTTTATTTTACTAAAACATATCTGTTTCTTTCGTTTGTTTGCTGAAATTATCGGACCAGCTTCCATAATACCTTCACTACAAACAAAATGGCTAGCTTCCACAATACCAACAGTCAGTGGGCATTTGTTATGTTGGTGACTAGAAAAAGTTAAAATTTCATTCACATTTTGATATCAAAACATAATTTGCATTTTTAGTACATGTAAATGACATGTTAGCCCAAGGATACATTTATGTATTTAAATTACAACAGTTTAACGTCATGGATGTACGTCATATATGACACCTAAAGCCATAAACAATCAACACTAAGACTTATTTCATTTGTGTTTTATCGTTTAAATGAAATGAAATAGGGTTTAACGTCCTACTCTTCTGCGCCAACTAGGCTAATGAAGACGGACAGACTCCATACAATGTGCTATGAGGAAAATTTTTGCCCAAACAGCGGCACTACCCAAGGGCTCTTTTATGTGCATGCCAGTGTGTACATCAAACCGCATTTTCTCGCCCCATCCGAGCAACTATACGTTGTCCCTTGCCAGGATGTTTTATTACAATGGGACGATTTAATTTGGTATGCATACAAATATTACTTTTGAGTCAGCAACAGAATAAATGTGTGAATGAAATTGGGGTTTAATGTCCATACTTTACTGCACGTTTAGCAACAGAAGAACTGACTCAGTCACTTGGTTTCAATATTATTGTAAGAGGAGTTCAGTAGGTATACCAGTGCAATCATGTAAATATGTGTCTTTTAATTGTGACTCTTACTGCACCTGAACATGCAGATTTCCTTGTTACAATAATACATGGATAATAATAATAATACTTTATTACACAACTGCATGTTAAATAGACAAAGTATTTTCTGTAAGGTTAATGCTCAGAGAGGGACGCTATAGCCTGTCCACAGACTATTGTTGTTTTTTACTCTTGCACCTCTGATGAGAGGAATCCATGCTGGAGATCCAGAGGAACTTAATCCACAAGTATTTTCTGTACCAACCAGGCTAATGCACAGAGAGGGATGCTACGGTGTGTCCACAGACTATTGTTGTTTTTTACTCTTGCACCTCTGGCAAGAGGAATCTATTCTGGAGATCCAGACAACCACAGGCTATTGTTGTTTTCTCCTGCACCTCTGAAAAGGAGAATCCATGCTGGAGATCCAGAGGAACTTAAATTATAAGACAAGTATTTTCTGTAAGGCTAATGCTCAGAGAGAGATGCTATAGCTTGTCCACAGATTATTGTTTTTTTTCTCCTGCACCACTGACAAGGGGAATCCACACTGAACATCCAGAGGAACTTTGGGGATGAACTTGAGACATCCTGGTAAGTGAGCCCGAGAAGAACTCACTCAGCCGCAGTGGCTTCCAATTATGGTAAAGGAACAATACAAATACATCGGCAATATCATAAAACAAAATTTACATAAATATCAAACATGTCACGATGTTCTGTATGAATAACTAGATATTTTGAAGTTAAAGGGGAAGTGTCATTAACTATATGCTCATATTTAAAATCCAGGTGTTGATATACCGACTTTAAAAGTTGACCAATTTGTCTCCAATTTTACATATAATCAGTTTTTAAATGTCCTTAATGTAACTGGAAAGTTTAATCATAGCAAATTGAATAGCTAGACATCTTGACATTAAAGAGGAACTGTCATTAACTATGCCCATTATTATTACACTATAATTATCAAAAATCCAGGTGTTGATTGATATACCTACTTGTCTCTAATTTTGCATATAGTCAGTTTTTAACGTCCTTAATGTAACTGGAAAGTTGAATCAATATTTTATCAAGTGCTAATGCCACGACCGCAAGCCCTAGGTGATCGGGCAGATAGAGCTGAAAGCACCACACTCTAGGCCACCTATAGGCCATCCCAACCTCTGTAAAGTCACCAATGTGCAGGTTATTTAAGAAAAGGGGCCACAGGATAGTGAATTGTCTACGATATCACCATTGGTGGAAGTGGACGTAAAACTCCAGGAAGGAACAAACGAAAGGATATAGCACTTCTATCTTAAACTAGAATTTAACCTTTAATTTGGCAATGTTGGGCCTTTAAAACACATTGTCTTGTAAAGTTTCAAAAGGTCATCAGTTTGTGTCATCAGGTCTTTACATGGGTTGTTTTTTGATCACAGGAACATAAAACATGGTTTATATCACATCATATATTTAATTTTTGTCATGTACCAGGATAAAACTGGAGAAGGGTGTGAAACTCTCACTTTTTGATTTGATTATGTACTCCTTATGTTTTTGTTTAACCTTAAACAACAATCTGTGTCCAGTGGAAGTTAACACTGTAACTCAGGTATCATTTAATCTTGTGTATCTAGCATTAATTTCTTTCTCATTCGTTTAATATCAAATTCTTGTTTAAGAATTTGTAAAAATCGTTTAATATCATCAAAAATTTGTTGTTGTGTCCAGTTAAAAGCTTACCATTCAATTTTGATAATGAGTGTCCAAATTACAAGCTTTTAATTTTTGGATCACTTTTATAAAAAAAACTAAAAAAACAATTGATTATTGATGTATAATTTTTGAATAGTGGTCAGGAAATTAAAAACTTGTAAATTGGATACTCAATATCAAAATTCATCTCTCTAGATCACTGAATAGTGATATTAATTTTAATGTCTTTTTCAAATTTTTTTTAAAAATGCATAATTTATCTAGCTCTTCTATATGTATCACCTGCCACCCCCCCCACCCCCACCGACACTTGGTGATCTCTCTCTCTCTCTCTCCTAAAAATGAGGGAATATCGTGTGGAAGAAACAATAAACCACATTTAATTCCATTAAATCTTGATTGAGAAAGTTTAGAATGATGGATGTATTATACTGATAAATAGATTTAATCGGGTTTCTGAAATATTATATTTTATATAGATTAGATTTAAAGGTCACCTTATCTATTTCTTTATGAATTGTTTTTGTTTACTGGTGGTTATATTTATACACCCACGTTTAAAGTGAACATATATTATTGTCACCTGTTGTTCATACTACGCTTTTGGCAAGGAACAGTGTCTGGTCTTTTGGATGGGACAGAAAAACTGAGGTCATATGTTCACCTTGGCCTGCTCGTAAAAGAAACTTTGACAGTTCAAATTCAATTCATTCATTTATTTCTTGTGAATGCTGCAAAGGTCAGAATTCTTCAATGATTTTTTTTTTCAGATTTGTTCATATATCAACTGACAAAATAACTTTAAAAAGTTTTTCACTTGATTTATATATGTCCATATTTCAGTGTGTACACAATAATTAATAGAATACAATATCAAAAAAACATTGTTATCATAACTTCCTATGATGTCGTAACTGACTGGTTAGTGCGTGCGTATTGTATCATTAGGTCTGTCATTGAGTCAACTTGCATGGTTTCGATTCCCCGGTTGTATGTGACAATAATTAGCTTTTGAATGTGATAGAGGATACAGTATTTGATGGATTCTTTTCAAATTTGGTATGAAGCATTGCGGCCATGAACCCTATTGATTTTCAGCACTCCGGAGTTATCCCCGCAGTTATGATAGAGGCTGTAGATTTTAACATGTTTTTCAAATTTGGTGTGAAGCATTCTGATCATGGGAAGATAAACATTCTTGTGCAGGTCAGAGTTCTTCAACGATTTTGTTTTCAAATTTGAATGAACAAATTAACCCTAAACATCTTCTCAATTTATTTTTTGATTTGAAGTTTTTATATATGGGTTTTTTTGTTTTTTTTCAGATAAAGAAAATTCATCCGGAAGCAAATCTAAGATTACCAGGAAAGAAAATATTTGGAAATCTTGATCCAGAATTCATACAACAGAGACGAGAAGGACTGGACGATTTTATACAAAAACTTATCACAAATCCAAAATTATCACAAAAGTAGGTAAAGTTTTATATTTCTGTGTTAAAGTCACCAATCTATTTTTCAGGGCTTGTACATCACTTAAATATACTCAGATTTTCAGTTTATCATCTCATAGTAGATACTAAACGAAATTGAACCATAATTGGGCTGATATCCCTTTAAAAGTTTCAACTTACACTGTATTGTAGTTTACAAGGGTTTCATAATTCAGCGACTTTAGTAACTGACACATCACAATCTAAAGTGAAAGTAGTTCATTAAAGGGGCATTATGGAAGATTAGATAAAGAGCTGATGGTTTTCGCTATAATTGCTAAGAAATAGATAACGTGGAGAGAATATACTGAAAATTTCAGCCAAAATTTCTGAACCAATTAAGATATTATTAGTGATTCATGGTTTGAGCTAGCCTCGATCATCATTACTAACATTGGTCTTGATTATCCATTTTTACGTTAAATCATCCATAACAAAATGTTTTCAAATCCATTAAATATCGCAGGCTAACAATGACATCAAGAGTTAATTATGGGATTGATAAGTTAGTTAATGTCTAATTAACAATTCAGATAACATTTAATGCCTAAAGAAAGACCTGCAATAGGCAGATTTAGCTCTTGCATAATATATGTTTAATCCCTGCTAAGCAAATCTAGCGAAGTTGTGTTGATTTTACATATTCAGACATAAAATATATATAATATATTGTCACATGTTGGCAGTTGATTTATACACGATGGCTCGGTGAGTAAGATGCTGGTTCGCTAACCTGGAGGTCTCAGGTTCGCTCCTGGTGTTGGCAGAGAAAGTACTCTGAATTTTTCAGCATGGTTTCCCCATGGATGAGACGCAAAAACAAGGTCCCTTGTACTTGTTTGCATACACATAAAATATCCCTTGTCAGCGGGAAGTCAAAATAAGAGTCTGCTCCTTCGGGCAAAATTTCCCTGAAAGAGCACTGAATGTAGTATGCCTGTCTTTATTAGCCCATTTGGTGCAAAGCAGTAAAACGATATATAAACCCCATTTCATTTCACTTATTTATTGTTTCCTGTGAAATATGGGACAATCTTTTTTTTACAGTCTTCTGTTCATTTAGTAAATTTATGAAACTCTAAATAAAATCTTGTACGCTAAATGTTCACTAAGCCACATGACAACAAAGTTTAAAACTATTAAAAAATAACAGTAGGACGTTAAAACCCCCATTTCATTTCAGTTAAAACTATAAAAGAGGAATGCAAAATTATAGCTGAAAATAAAACTCCCACATGCTGATATTTCCTTATATGTACATATGAATTAAAGTAATTCTTCATAAATTATAAATAGACAAAGCAAGCTGTCATTGAAGGAGTTGCTGGGGAGTCATAGTTCTTGACGAATCCAAAATTAGCTCACAAAATGTCTCACCACATCCGCCCTGTCGGTTTTTATAATCATGCAGTGTGTGGTTTGTTTCACAAGTAATACTGTATTAATATTTCTGCATTGCCATACCAAATTTAGAAAATGAAATGGGGTTTACCATCCTATTGTTCTGCTCCAACTGGGCTAATGAAGACGGGCATATATCATACAGTGTGCTATGCAGTGTGTGGTTTGTTTCACAAGTAATTGTATTGTATTAATAATATCTGCATTGCCTTACCATATTTAGAAAATGAAATGAAATGAAATGCTCCAACTGGGCTAATGAAGACGGGCATACGCCATACAGTGTGCAATGCCCTACTCTTACATGTATATCGAATTCCATCTGCCAATGGATCTTTTACGTGCAAGCCAAAGTGAGCACGTGGACCTTGATTTTCCGTCCCATCTGAGTGACTAGACAGCTGTCCTTGTCAGGCCCTCCGTCCACCAAATGCCTGTCCATCGTGGGTTTTCTCCGGGTCCTCTGGTTTCCTCCAACTGCTAAAGACCCCTACACGCAAGTGAATTATTGAAATAAAATTGAACCATATGTTAGTCCCGAAATGACCTAGTTTGTGTCGAGTGGACGTTAAATGCCATTTCTCTCTCTCTCTCTCCACCAAATTTAGAGAAAATGGTATAAAGAAAATAAAATGAAATGGGGTTTAACTTCCTCTTTTTCTGCACCAACCGGGCTAATGAAGACGGGCATCTGCCATGTAGTCTACTCTTTGATAAATTTGAACTGTCAACTCTCTGTTCATGATTTTATTGTGTTCAACCTCTAATATCTAGGGCAGACGGGCACACTTTTTCACCCAATCACACCAATTTTTAAAACCCACTGGAAAAAATCGCCTATCTGTGCCCTTTCACAGGGACAACGATTCTGCTCTGTGAACCAATTCGCCCGATCGATCGCCTGTATCTGGCATGTTAAATATTTTCGGCCAAAAATTTTACGCCGGTGATTGATTCGCTGAAACATCCCCTTTGCCGGTCCATGTCCAATGTATATTGTCAAGCAAACCATTTTTATAAGCCAATCGAAGACATTATTGATATCTCATCTCAAAATGGCTTCCACATAAGTCGCATGATCAACGTTAAAAAAAATCCCTGTCGTATTTCAATCAGCGTGATCAGACGAAAAAATATGCGTCTGCACTAATCTTTAATGCCATCTGAAGGTTTATAATATGAATGACAAGTTCAAAACAAGGTCAAACAATAAAATTTTATCAAGAAGAAAAAATACATACATGATATATTTATAAATAAAAAATCTTTAAGATTTATTGTGGTTTTAGAAAACAATGGGTGGTTTCTGATTTATAGCCGACATCCTGGACTGTTTAACATGATTATAACCTCAGCTCATTTTTATTTGACATATTAAAAGTTCATTCAAAAACTTGGACCAAACAAATAATCAGTTCTGTTTTACTGCTGAATCATGCTGTATAATTACTAGTTTTTCTGCGTTCAACCATTTTGAAGTGACAATATGGTATGAAATGGTACTTGTATATTGTTGGGATAAATATGAGAAAAACTAACTATGTAAGTATCACTGTACTTCAGGTATCATTTAATCTTGAGTATTTAGCATTAATTTCTTTCACATTCATTCAATATCAAATCTTTGTTTAAAAATTCATAAAAATCACCCAAAATCATCTAATTTGTACTTGTGTCCAGTTTAAAGCTGACCATTCAAATTTGATAATGAGTGTCCAATTTACAAGTATTTAATTTCTTGATCACTGTTAAAAAATAAACAACCCAATTCAAGCAATTGATTACTGATGTATAATGATTCATTTTTGAACAGTGGTTAGGAAATTAAATACTTGTAAATTGGACACTCATTATCAAAATTAATCAGCCAGCTTTACACTGGACACAAGTACAAATTAGATGATTTTAAATGATTTTTACAAATTTTTAAACAAAAATTTGATATTAAACAAATGTGAAAGAAATTTGTGCTAGATACACAACATGAATGATACCCAGGATACAGAAACGAAATGAAATGAAATGAAATGGGGTTTAACGTCCTACTGTTCTGCTCCTATACTGGGCTAATGAAGACGGGCATACGCCATACAGTGTGCTATGAGGGAAATTTTGCCCGGGCAGCGGCACTATCGCCTACTCTTATATCCAATTCCAACTGCCAAGGGATCTTTTACGTGCATTCCAATGTTTACACGGGACCTCGGTTTTTTGTCTCATCCGAAGGACTAGACAGCTGTCCTTGTCAGGCCCTCCGTCCTGCATCACTGACAAGGGGAAACCACGTCAGAAAATCGGGATGAACTTTCTCGGCCAATGCAGGGATCGAACACCCGACCTCCAGGCTAGCGAGCCAGCGCCTTACCCACCTAGCCACCGTGGCTCCCCCAGGATACAGTGTATTCTCTAAATTCTAAAGAGAGATTTTTATCCTGTGCTGCAGGGTCTAAGTGCTATTTGCTCCATCTTCTCTTCTGGGTTTTTTTTGTGTTCAACCATTTTGAAATGACAATAGGGTTTGCAATGGTGCTTGTATATTGTCTGGAAAAATCTGAGAAAAACTAACTATGTAAGTATTCTCTAATGGTAAAGGGATTTTTATCCTGTGCTGCAGAGTCTAAGTGCTATACACTCCCTCTTCTCTCTCTGTTTTTTTCTGTGTTCAACCGTTTTGAATTGACAATAGGGTTTGAAATGGTGCTTATGTATTGTCTGGAAAAATCTGAGAAAAGCTATGTAAGGATTCTCTAATGCGAAAGTGATTGTCCAACTTGATTAAAGTCAGACCACTTAAAGCATCCTCAGACTTCAGTTAAGAATCTACTCAAAATTGTTCACCTTATTTTAACTAAAATATAGCTCTTTATAAAACTTTTGTTGTTTTAATGTATCTAATACATCAATAAGAAACTATGTGCAAAGTTTTGTGTTTTTGGATCAAAGATATTTCTCATAAAAAATGATTGAAAGTGCGTAAATTCTTAAGTCTGCCAATGCTTTGTGAACTCGAGGCCATTTTTTTTTAATCGTTGTTATATTCTGATTTTATATTTTACCAGACACAGTGTTATTTAATGTCGCTGATTGTCATTTCCATTTTTCGGACAACATCCTCAATAGCCCGATTGGTTCAGAACACATTTCATTTCTTTTGCAAATCTTTTATGTAAATATTTGTTCCATTATCATTTTTTACCTTCAACTGTGAAAACAAACAGAAAGCGGTTATCTCAGAAAAATTAACATATGAAATGTTATTCATATTTACGATAAAAAGAATGTCGTCTGTGATCTGAATTATGTATGGTAATATCAAGTTAATACTGATCATTATGTAAAACTAATAAGACCACCAGACGATGTTAAACAATCTCATTTTCGAACATTTGAATTACGTATTTGAACCAATTTGTATGAATGTATACCCGGCGAAATTGGGTATGGTGCCTTGAATCTTGAATTAGAAAATTTTGGGTTAACCATTATCGAACTGGAAAACAAACATATGTTTGAATAACAAGTACAGTAAGATCAGTGTAGATCGTTCTGTAAAGCCGTTATCTAGTACCAAATTAAAT